CCTAGTCTTTTGCTTTTAGATACAACAGACTTAAATAAAATGGGTATTACTTTTGGACCAGCTAAACTTGTCATTCATGCCAGAGATGAAGTTGTGAAATTAGAGAAAGAGGAGTCACATAGCCTTAAAAACCAGCCTGGAAGGCCATGCAAGCCCTATCCATTTTTTAGGTACCATGATACATATAGATACATGGAGGGCAGTATTCTTGATAATATAGAATCTGGTCCCTCAAACCTGATTGAACCCTGCCATGAGTATAAAGCTTTCATCCATACAACAGATGAAACTAAAATGAGCAAGTTCACTGCTGAGGTTATTCGTTTTGCAGCTGCCTGTATGAATAGCCGCACCAACGGCACCATACATTTTGGAATAGGGGACAAGCCAGAGTTCACTCATGGCCAAGTGTTGGGAGTGGTTGTTGAGGACAAAGAGTCCTATGCTAATGAACTAAAATCTGCCATTGATGCTTGCTTTGAGTATAAACACAAACAGACTGCTCAAATGTGCATCAAACCTCCTCGATTTGTTGAGGTTCTTAATAAGAACATGACATCATCTGACAAATGTGTGATAGAAGTTGACATGGTTCCTGACTCTGCGATCTGTGAAGAAAGCATCTACCACACTTTAAATGTAGACACAATAAAAGCCAGGAAAAAGGCTAAAGGTAAAGAAACCAAACAGTTCTTCATCAGAGATGGCAGTAGCAGCAGGGATCTCCTTGCACTAACCACATCTGCTAAGCCTATGGAGGAGTACAACAAGTTTGTTGACAAGGTGCCACAACTTTCACAACACCGAAAAAAGGAAGAAGAAAAGCACCTCACTGTGATAAAAAGCAGTACTCAAGGCTCTAAATTAAGTTACATGATAACTGGTGGATCTTCTTCTTTAGATAAGTCACACTTTGAGCACTATGTGATAGTAGCTAACAAGTCACATTTGAGGCAGTTTGAATCACTTGGGTTTCTTGTAGAACTCAACCCAACAGCTGTTTTGGATTTTGATCCTGAATCGAATCAAAAACATGGATTGGAGTATCACCTCAGTCAGCAGATGACAGTAAGTGTCCATTTACCAGCTCAATATAAAATCACAGAAGCAGTCGAGGACATGGCAAATAAGTTGAAATTAACTCGAGGCACCAGCTGGGTATTCTGCAATGGAGGCATTCAGGATGAGACCCCCTCAGACATAGACCAGTGGCTGATGGACAAGGGAGCTTCCATCAGAGATGTGATTTCCTTCTTGTGTCGGAAAGATGTGCTTCCAAACAAAAGATTTCTTGTCATTTTCTTACTTATGTCAACAGTGACTGAGATGAAGGACCCACTTGTGGAGACTTTCAGTACATTCTGGCAAGAGCTCAAAGGCACAGAGCAGATTGTTTGTATATGTGACAATGAAAAAGCATTTACGTCCTGGAAGGATCTACTTCAGGCTCGGTGTGGAATCGACATCTCTCGTAGATGTATTTATGAGCTTAGTTTTGCTGAAATCAATGGCACTATCCTTAGTCTTCTGTCAAAAAACCGTAGAGCCAGCCGCTTCCTACCCTGTGGTGGGGGAAGCAAAGTGCTTTTTGAGAAGAAAGTGGAGCGTAGTCTGAACACTTTAGATGTCCTGTGTGTGAACCAATGTGAAGGAGGAAATGAGGACGAACTTGTCATAGAAGAGAACTTTTACAAAGGAGGAAAAGTGTCATGGTGGAATTTCTATTTCTCAGAGCAGCCTGGATCTACACCATTCATCAAACGAGACAAGTTTCATTACATCATGAACACAGTCATACCAGATTTGTCATCCCTGAGAAAACCCTGTGCACTGTTTAACCTCATGCACATTCCTGGATGTGGTGGGACAACGTTGGCCATGCATACTTTATGGGCACTTCGGGAAAGTTTCCGTTGTGCTGTCCTTAAAAACAATGATGCCGACTTTACCGAAGTAGCTGAACAGGTGGTGAAACTTTTAATGTATGACCATAAGGAACAATTGCCACGGGTCCCTGTGCTGCTGATGATCGATGACTTTGATGAGATGGAAAAAGTATATGACTTGCAGCAGCTCATTGAAAGAAAATGTACGGAGAAAAACATTCACTCTAAGAGTGCAGAGGTAATTGTCCTGAACTGTATGAGGTCTGAGTCCAGTGACCCGACTGAAACAACTGAAGACACAGTAATCATCGGAAACAATCTTTCTGAGAAGGAACAGAAATTGTTTGAGGAAAAACTGGTAGAAATAGAGAAAATACACAAGAATGCTGAAACATTCTATGGATTCATGATCATGAAGAAGAACTTCAAGTCAGAGTATGTTCAGGGTGTGGCCCGCAACACTCTTAAGAGCTTCAACATCAATCAGAAACATGCACAGCTGCTGGCTGTTTTAGTTCTGTTGAGTGTATACTGTAAGGGCGCCTCTCTCTCCATCTCTCTGTGTGAGGAATTTCTTGGTCTTCAGCCAAAACCAGTTTGTGGAACGGCCAAAGTTGAAGACGGATTTGGGAAATTTTCCACTTTAATTGCCAGGTGCCAAGTCGAGGGCAAGGTCGTGTTCACTGCTGTGAAAATGATCCATTCTAGTATTGCACAGCATTGTTTGAGTGAACTTACAACAACACACAGTGTGAAGAAAGCTGACATTACTGACCTTCTGCTGACCACAAACAAGCTTTATGAGAGCACACAAGGCAAAGACAAACTCCTACAAGATGTGCACCATGTTTTGGTGAAAAGAAATCTTTCAACTGAGGAGGAATCTCAGTTCTCTCCACTAATTCAAGACATCACAAAAGAAACTCCAGGACAGGAAGAGATGGTACTAATAAATGCATCAAAAAGATTTGAGAAAGATGCAGTGATCTTTCAATTACTTGCCAGATACTATTACCTGAAGAAGAAGGATTTCTTAGAGGCAAAACATTGGGCACAGAAAGCAAAAGAGCTTTCCAAAGATAGCTCATATATTGCAGACACATCAGCACAGGTTCACAAGCATGAGCTGAAGAATGCCATTGCTAAGTACAAGGAACAGCATATTAGTCCGGATAAATTGGCCATGTTTCTTGGAATGGCTCAGTCAGCAGTAGATGCATTTAAGGAAACACAGAGAATTGCAAAGAAGGAATCAGTTCAGCGACTACAAGACAAGAGAGACAACTACCCTTTTAACACATCAGGGCTCCTGGGAGAAATTCAGGTTGGAGTACTTATCATTGAAATGCTGGAGAAGACCCCTGTATTTTCTTCAGACAATGTCCGCCACGACATAATGAGTCAGGTCCTCTCTGGAGATGTTAACCTTCAGGATGTAGAGAAAAATGATCAACGGCACAGTAAACACAAATCCTACTATGCCATTCTCAGATCATTTGAAGATGTGCTTTACAACCTCAGACATAGAATGAAGGTGAACTTTGACTTGCTTGACAATTTTTATGTAAACTTGGGCTCCAGATTTGGAATGAAAGACAGTCGTGAGCAAGTAGCTCAATATGAACTTTCCAGATGTTTCAAACAATATGCAAATCTCTTCTGCAAGACAGCTTCACTGAAGAATAAAATAGTGAGTACTCTGTTTAAACTATACCAGGCCAGACAATTCCTGGAGATGCAAAAAGCTGACACCTACTGTGGGATTCTGAATTTTCTCTCAAACAACATCCCAACTGAAATAATGGAGAAGATTGCCAGGCAGTATGATTTTCTTTGCAACTATAATCCAGATGTATTGACCAAAATCAACTTCATCTATGCCAATGTTGTGCTAAGTCGTATCAAACTGGAATCACCACATATTAAACAATATCCGAAAGTACTTGATGTCCTTTGCCAAGTACTGCGTGAGCAGATTCCATTAAGTGCTAATTTGCCACTGCACTTCATTGCAGTTATGCTGTTGTGGCCACAGCAATACCATCCAGAATGTACACGCTTGGGGAGATGCATCTCACAGATGAGGACCGCTTACCACACAGTGATGAAAGAGATGCGCAACGGTAAGAGGCCCGTGGTCCACTTCTTCTTGGGTAAGAAGCAGGGCTATGAAAAACTGGTACCTCTTGGGGAAATCAAAAGGCTCATCAAGCCAGAAGAGTTTGCCTACATGTGGGAAAATGGCAAAATATGGAAAGAGAAGAAGGTGCATGACCTCCTCTGCAGGGTCACTGGTGAAGTGAAGAACAACTTCATACTTGCAGATACTTGTATCCAAGGTCTGAAGCTTCCAGTCACTCCAATGTTTCAAAGTCAGATTGGAGGATATGCTGAGGGGTCAAAGGTGTCATTCTTTACTGGTTTCTCAGTTAACGGCCCATATGCTCTTGACATTAACAAAACTTGAAAACACCATATTCCAACCTACTGTATCATTGTACAAATTGCTGTGGAAGTGAGTTGCTTGTTATTGTTTATTTGTTATGCTCGGTTACATTTTGTGTGAGTGTATCTTTGGCTCTGTACATTATATTATTGATATATTTGTTGTTCATAAAGAATAACATCTGTTAACTTCTTTAAAATGTTGTACTGTAGCTCACAAGTCAATGTAAAGGAGCCATTTTAAACAAAACTGAAATCCTGTGGTTTCAGTAGTAAAATGATCAGAGATTTAAAAAGGAATTCAATTAATTCTTTTTGAAATGTTCTGTTTTAACTGATTAAATGTGTAGCAATTTAATAATATTGTTCCTTGAAATGAAATATTCTGTATCATACATTTTACATTACATTTACTTTTGGATTAAATTATGACTTTTGAACAATATGTAACTTACATAAAACTACAGACACTGTCCTGTTCTTAATTAAGTCATTTATTTTTAACGCCAAATACTGAAATGCTGATTTTTTTTGTGTGTTCATGCATGTACTTCTCTGTTTGAAATGTGATTTCTTTTACCATTTGTCAAGCATTATATTACTTTGGTAGTTTTGTTCAGTATTTTGTAACTGTATGTTTGGCATAGCATAAAAACTGATTAACACTGAGTGTTGCAATGCCTGTACTTTCTAATAAATATGTAAGATTCCTACTGTATGAGAATTTATTTAAAATGTACTGCTCCTTATCCTAAACATCAATATTCACAGTGCCCTGTACTGTTTCCTTTTATTTACATACACAGTTACAATTATAGTTACTGAAAGTTATAAAAAGAATATAAACATACAGACATTAAATATACACACTTGGAATAAGTTGCTTCACTGTGTCAAATCATTGTGCAGTCAAGAACATTTAACCTGTATCACACACAAGAGGGCACCACAAGTACAGAAATGATAAGGCCCTTGGATTATGTGACTGCCCATAACAGTTTAACAACGACAATATACAGTATAGTTGTGTTTTGTGCTCCAGTGTCCAGCACCAGCAAACAAAGTGAGGAGGGCTGTTTATAATAATGAAAATCATATTAAAGTAATCAAAGCAAAATTAACTGGAAATTAACAAATGTACGCATATGGCACATGACCATTACTATTACAGTACTAAGACTATATGATACATGCACATCAATATGTATGTACAGGCTCAAGTCTGAAAGAAGCCACAGGCTGCTAATAAATTTTAGACTGCTCATTTAACGTGCACAGCACTCATAGACAGATGGGTGTAAGTGATCTGTAGGGTGGAAGAGGGCAGTGACTCCCTGTGGCAGCCAGTAGACAGTTGCTGGGTCACTACCTCTGGCCTGTGTGATGTTATCTGAGATACAAATGATCAACAGGGCAGTGCTGTTCTCTTTCTGTCTCATTTAACCATTTTTTACTCTATACAGAGTTGCACACACCTGCTCCTGTAGTGGTGCACGCTTGGTGCTGAATAGTATCACAGGACATGTACGTTGTTTTCTGAGTACAGGCTCCCAGCTTCAGGAGACAGATCTAGTATACATCATTTGCTTGACAGTCTTCTTAAGGCTGTGGTCATCTCTGTTGCTGGTGCACCTTTTCCTATCATACTTTCCCCTTCCGGTCAACTGTCCATGATTGTGCTTCGATACAGCACTCTGTGAGCAGCTGGCCCTTTCAGCGATGACCTTTTGTGGCTTACCCAGGTCACCTGTCTTCCTCATGATTGTGGCTGCATGTACTGGACTAGACCAAAAGATACACAGTATTTAAATTGTTTGAATAGTAATTTACTCAGTCTCAAAATAAAATATTCTAATATTTTGAGATACTGAATGTTTTATTTTTATGAGCTGTAAGCCGTAATAATCAAAATCAAAGCAAAAAATGTGTACTGAATCTAGAATATGAGAGTTTCATTTTTTGAATTAAATTATGGGAAAAAAAAAACCTTTCCATGATTTTCAAGTGTTTTGAGATGCACCTGTAAAGAGAGTTTTAGAAAGGGGGTGAGTTTAAGAATAAGCATGGGACAATAGTTTTGTTATTTAATTAAAAAACCTTTTGCTGTGCAGAGTGACTTGGATGAATTACTTCCTTTTCTGTAGAGAGCATATCAGAACTGTGCACCACATCTAAGCTCAGTCTAGTCTGACTAAGCCTTTTGTTGTTTGTCTCATTCTTTGGCAGCCAGATTTTATTTTTGATGAACTGAAAAGCATGTGTTTCTTCATTGGTCAGTGGAGATGAAAACGATCCTGATCATCTCGCACCATTCTGCCATAAAGTGCAGCTGTTCATCCTACATTAACACGTGTGAGAAGCTGATGCTGGCTGACAATTGGAAGAAAAACCCACAGTCAGTTACGCCTTCACAAATGCTGTCCCCACTGCAATAATGCATCTCATTTATGATACATCACTGCAGTGATCATAATGGAGATTTAGAGGTTAGGAATAGAATTACACGTTTTCTGACTTAGTACTAAGATTTAGAGGTTAGGAATAGAATTACATGTTTTCTGAGTTAGTACTAGCAGACAACAGTGAATCATACTGAGCTATCACACTAGCTTTTATGAGTAATGTCAAGCATTTTCAGCTCAGTCATAGTAATCACAGATTTTGCTATAGGGATGTGTAGGACAGTTTCCCATAACCCCCTGGGCAGCAGTTCGCAACTAGCCTAAATTACATGACCCTGCTGACCTCCATCCTAAAAGTCCATTACCACCCAAACCCTCAACTTTGCCTGCAAACTTTGAATTGTAACCCGTGCACACTGGCGGAAACACAATGTGACGATTGTGATTGTATTTTGATTTTGATGGTAAAGTGAAAAAAGATAGCTTCCTCTGAGAATGGGCTAGATTTATGGCCCCTGTCCTGGCCGCTGGCCCCACATCCTCTCTGATCTGCTTTTACACCAATGACCCCTGGACCCTCGAGGTTCATTACAGAGCCCCTGAATGGTCCGGCTGGCCACCAGCCCATCTCACACTGCTTGTTTTCCAATCAAATCACTATATTTAACGGGGACACGAGCCCAGGGCCAAGTCCAAACAGACATCTGTTTCAAATTGTTCCTCGCAATTATTACACACAGAAGTTCTCCCTCCACACCCCCATCCGCACTCCTTGCCCCACTTTGGTCTTTTGTTCGTTGTTGTTTGTTTACAGCAAATCCTCCCCCTCTGGTTTGCTAATGGTCAGAAATGAGAGGGGGGCAGTTGAGGGGTATTCTGGGAAGCATGGTGGTGGTGAGGAGCTGGCTCCTGGAACTGCCATCATAAATACATAGGCAGAGGAGAATGGGAAAACCAGTAGGGCTTTTTGATTGAGCACAAAGCAGGTTTTTCTCTATGAGCACAGGGAACAGCTTTCACACTCAGGGGCTCTGTACTGCTGCCAGCTCACGTCACATCTCCATCAGAATGGTCAGTCAGTAGCTTTTATACCCAGGTGGCAGCAATGATTTATAAACAAGGCTGATCTGATTACAAAGGCAATTATTCTGACAATTATTGGTTTGTTTTGCTTTACATTCTGGTGAAGAATCAATTAAATAAACTAAGACGTGCACTGTATCTGTCGAATGGCTTATTAAATTACAGAAGACTTTCTAGAAACTCAGGTTCATACAAAGATACTGTTTGTGATGTGTGCACAACACTCATGACATTATTATGCATTTAAAACACTATCATCCTCATCAAATCCCTGTTCATTTTTCCCTGGGATAACTGGCTTAGGACCAAAAGGCTATCCCTGGAGACTTTGTTCAAACAGAGGACTTAAAAGAAAAGGTCAGACCAAGATCTCCCAGTTGGTCACTCATAAAGCTGCTTTGTGGCTTTTGAACAGGATGAGGCCTCAGTATTTAAAAGGCTTCAAGTCTGCAGCCGTGCTAGTGGCTCTGTGAGCCTGTACTGGGCTAAATGCTAGCATTAGCATGCTCACAAGTTCTTGGTGACAATGTTGGCATGCTGATATTTTAGAAAGTGTAATGTTTCCAGTGTTACCTGTGTTAGTTTAAGTGTGTTAGCATGCTAACATATTTTTTATAAATCAAATCAAATTTTATTTGTATAGCGCCAAATCACAACAAAAGTCATCTCAGGACACTTTACAAACTAAGGTCTAGACCTTACTGTTATCAATATTATTACATAGGGAAAACCCAACAAATCCCCCTTGAGCAAGCACTTGGCGACAGTGGGGAGGAAAAACTCCCTTTAACGGAAGAAACCTCCGACAGACCCCGGCTCTTGGTGGGCGGCCTTCTGCCTCGACCGGTTGGGGTGAGTGGATAGAGGAGAGACAAAAGAAGAAAAGCAACAAGACACAACAATCAAACACTGATCAGGTCGATGTGGCCGGTGACTGCTCGTCAGAGACATAGAGCTCCAGGGCCAGGGCAACCTGCAGAAAGGTACAGGGAGAGAGA